GTGTTCCATCTCATTTCCCTTTGGGGTTGCTGTAGGTGATCTGGGAATCTGGTTTTGAGACTTATTTACATGTTTTCTCCTTTCGACTGGGGGGGCCTGTTGGCGCCTGCATGGATTACCTCCTCTGAGTTTGGAGAGGTGGGACAGGGGCTGGGAGAAGCGGTAGGGATGGTGGCCCAAAAGCCCTTTCCTGTGGGCTGGGAGCAACGGGAGGGATGGTGGCTGGGAAGCCCCTTCCTCTGGTCCAGGAGCAGTGGGATGGTGGCTCAGTAGCCCCTACCTCTGGGCCGGGAGCGGTGGGAGGGCTGGTGGCCCGGAAATCCCTTCCTCTGGGCCAGGAGCGGTAGGACAGAAGGTGGCCCAAAAGCCCTTTCTTCTGGGCTGGGAGCAGTGGGAGGGATGGTGGCCGGGAAGCCCCTTCCTCTGGACCAGGAGCAGTGGTACACAGTACCATGATCTGGTGGCCCGGTGTCCTCTGCGTCTTTGTAGTGTGGAACCAGGTGGCTGTACAGAGGAGTGGTGTGGGGGGCAGTACAGTGGATTGCTGCCGGGGTGCAGGCTGATTCAGCGTGTTCCGCGCGACTCAGCACCTTGGCAGGGCGTGCACAGACCTGCCTGTCTTCAGTGGGCTGATTCGGTGTCTTCCGCGGGACCTGTACAAATTATTAATAATAATAAGGGAAGGGTCTCACTCTGGTGACACAAGTGTGGCTGGAGTGAAGGCATGTGATTAATTCTCTACACTTGGTTTCTAATAGGAAAAAACAGGAAATGGGACTCCTTATGTGGGGACCAAGAGACAGGTCCATGTGGCTGGGGTGCAGGGATTAAGGGAAGGTAGATAAAGGTGATATTTAAGTTCCTACATGTCTCCTATCCTGGAGAGCTCTGAGGCAGAGGGTGTAGACAATGAGGATCTTAGGAAAGTTTCAGAAGAAGCTGGGAAGTATAGGATCTGAATTGGGCCTTTGGAAAGTTACTCATTTAGTTGTGAGCAGTTGGGTCAGGGTGGAGAAGGAGGTGGAGAGGTGCTCTTAAAGTTATCCCTATAGTGAAGTGACATCTGACAGCATGTTGCAAAGCAGCTCTTGGCTGGGAAAGGTCATTTCGGGGGGCACTGCATCCCTTAACACTCGATCTACACAATTGTCTCCAAGCTGCAGCAGGCCAGTGATTCCAAACAGTGAAAGATACTTCAGTGATTTGTGCAAAGTGCAGTACATGTATTTTCTCTGCTAGTCCTTGCAGTGCCCCGGGAGGTGAGTGACATGGGGATGTGGGACAGGAGTCTCAGAGCCCCTCACCTGTCACTGACAGCCCACCCCTTCCTATTTATTTTCTATTTTCCAGTATAATTTTGGGCATGTTTTTCTATTTAAAGTTATTTGCTGGCACTAGAATATAGTACTCAGAGAAACACAAATATTTAGTCTTACAATGAGGCACAGGGGCTATTTCCCTTAGGGAGATAGGGTAGGGACAACTCCAGGCTGACAAGCAAAGCCAGGCACAGAGCTGCCACTGGGAAGATGGGCGAAGACTGCTCACACCATCAGGTAGGAGGGTCCTGGTCACTACTCTTCTCTGGGGACCACAGATTCCTCACCTATATGATGGAGGGGGAGGGTGCATGAGGAAGTTTTTTCCCAATGCAATTCTCAGGACTTGCCGTGTCAATTTAAACACAGATTTCCAGGTCCCAGCATCTCTGGATTCTTGGTCACTGATCTCGGGACAGGGTCTACTTATTTTCAAGTACCCAGAATGGGTCAGGTGGGATGGCTGGATTCCTCTGACATCCAGGTTTGAGAGCAATAAGGTTGCTTATATCCTTGTCCTTCTTTCAAAAGATATTTTTGAAGTCTGGAGCTGGTCCTCAGTGGTAGAGCACATGCCTGGCGTACACAGAGCTCTGGATTTTATTGCTGCAAATAAATTTAAAAAATAAGCGAATAAATAAAATACTTTTTAAAACTAAAATATTTTATTAGCCTCCTCCCCACCAAACCACTACTTTGATGACATGATTAGAAATGTATTTCCTTGGTTCTAAGGTATCTTCCTTTCTCTTCTCAGAGTTGTGTTCCCCAAATCAGAACAAGTCTTACAATTTAATGTGGGAAGCCTTTCTTTTTTCATGGAAAAGCTGCTGGTAAACTTACAGTTCTTCTCTCAGTTCATAGCATCATGCAATCAGGGAAACAGTACAGTTGAGTTCAGAAAATACAAAAGTAAAAATCACAAAGAAGACAAAAAATTGTTCATCATCCCATTCCCAATGGGATCATATGCCAACATTTTGTAATATTTCTTTCCCATGCCTTAAGTTTGTCATTCTAGGCTTTCTTCTGCTACCAGTGAGGAACTGCTGAAAACTGACCTACAGCAGGCTTTTACATTGGGTTGGGAACTTTGAAGAAAGTAAGAATCCCAGCCCCTCTGTGGCAGCACTTTGTAATATGACTGCTTCATTTTGCAGCACAGCCCTGAAAGGTGCAGGCTTTTGTTTCTCCCAAAAATAGAGGAAGGAAAGGACTTGTCCAAGTTGTGGTAGGCAAATGGCTGAACTGTGTCTTGAGCACAGGCAGCTGCCTCTGATGCTGCCTCCCTGGGCAGTAGGGAAGCTTTACAAATTATCAGTGGGGACTGTAGTGTACGGTTGTTTCTTCTGGGCCAGAGGCATCCTACAGTATAATGCAGAGGCTGTGTTAAGCAAAAATATGGAACTGGGGCCTGAGTTCAAGTCCAGATCCTCTTTTTATAGATCCTTTAACTATTCTGAGCCTCAAAAAAAGGGGAGATAAGATATACCTCCCTCAAAGAGCTATAGAAAAATGGAAATATTTATATGTAAAGTTCAAGGCTCGGAAAGAATACTTAATACAGAAAAAATAGAACCCTGGGGTTTGGAGCAAGGGTGTAGAGGAAATATTAGAGAACTTTATGACATGCCATTAAAAATATAAATATTCCAAAAAGGTGTGGTTATTTTGGTCAAGTTCTATTTGAGATATATTGAGAGTTTCTATTAGAAATATATGTATATATATATTTGTTGTTGTTGTTGTTGTTGTTGTTATTAAGACAGAAGTCAGTCTGGTTTACAGTTAAGTAAAAACAAAAATATTTTTCAAGTTTGAGTGTATAGCCAAGGTAGTATGTATCTTTTTGGCTTGAGACTTCTGCTTCTACTCCAGTTCAACTCAGAACCTCTAATTCCTGCAACACCCAGGATGGACACAGGTGTCTGTGTTTTCAGGTGTCCCCAGGTGATCATGACAAGCCCCCAGAATAGAGCTGGGCCCATCCAAGCCTTCCCTGACCACCCTCCTGATGTTCATAGTCCAGGCTTTGGGAGTGGAACACAGGAGGGCTGCCAATCTCTGGTGCCTACATTCAAGGCCAAGAGAGGACAAAGATGAACCTGGAAAAAGGAGGTGAACCCTTCTCAAACATTTTGGGGGCCAGGCCTTGGGATGAACCTGAAACTGCACGGAGGTGAGGTGGTCAGGAATCCCATATTTGTTTCCAGGTCCTCCACCCACTGCTGCTTGTGCTCAGGGAGATCTCCACCTCTCAGCCCCTCCCTTCTTGTCTGTAAAGTGCGTAGTTGTGCAGATCACAAGAAAGGATGAAGACTGGGGCCTGAGTCAGTGCCTGGCCACACAGCAGGACTCACTGGATGCTGTCATCTTGGTCATAGTCTTGACTACTCATCACAATGCAAAGAGGTCAGTGCCATTGTTTCTGCCATTTCAAAAATGAGAAACTGAGGCTCAGATAGGTTAAGTGAGTAGCCCAAGGCTGCAGAGCTGGTGTTTGGGGTCAGATCCATCTGCCCTAGCATTCCTACCTTTTCTTTATTATCCTGCACAGAGCAAAAGTGGAGACTCCTTACTCCACTTAAAAGTGATTATAATGGGGTTAGAACTGCTCAGCTGAGTGCTGAAGTTTGTGCTTGTTGGGAGTTAAGAGAACTTCTTCGCTTTCAGCTTAGGGCACACCAGCCAGGCAGGACCCCATGGAGACAGGGCTGTGGAGGCCCCAAGATGGAGGGTTTTCAACAACTGGACCTCATTTGGGGGTAGTTATTTTGAGACAGTGGGGGCAGGGGGCACAGGAGGTATGGTCTCACCCCCAGGCATATGGGAGCCAGCTGTCAGCTAATATGGAAAATGATTAAGACCGCTTAATTTTTTCATTTGGTACATATACTAATAATGAGTCAAGAGGAATTTGGGGGGGGCGCTCTATAGAAGAAGGAAAAAGGTTGCAGATGTTGGAATTATGCAAGGGGTGGCTCTGGCCCCTGGTGCTAGGAGGGGCTGGGGGATGAAAATTCTGGTGGCCCCTGACTTGTGGGCCTCGGCAACTTGGAAAATGTCTGTGGTCTGTTCAGAGGGCAGCACATCTGGCTTGGTGGGCAGAGAACGGACGAGGGCTAAGGCCAGACTTGCTCAGTAGGAAGGTAGAGGCTGTGGGAGGCAGGTCTAAGGCGGCAGTGGGAAGGTTGGCAGGGCAGCTGAGGCCACTGGAGGGTCAGTAGACCCTTGGAGGTATAGGACAGCTGGAAAAGGGTAGAGGCAAAGCTGGTGGGATGCAGAGGCTGCCGGGGAGGAGGCTCAGCATTTATAAAGTGCTTCTTGTGTTCTGGCGGTGGAAGAGAGGGTTGACTCCATTTGCAGATACCTGTTCCCCATCCTGTGGGGTGGGTGGATGGTCCCAGACAGCTCAGTCTTCCTCAGCTTCTAGGCTGGGATCTGTATGGAGGACCAATCCCTAGGGCTCCACCTCCTTCCCACCTGAACCTAGATTGGCTCTCACAATCAAGATGATCTGATTGGCTGACACCGCCCCCCCCCCCGCCCAATCAGCTAGGAGAGGGAAGGAGCCAAGTTTTCAGGTGAGCTGGGGTGAGAGGTTCTTAGGGAGAGTAGGCTAGTAGGCTAGGAGCTGGAAAGACACTCCCAAAAGCAGTTATTAATATTGGCTTCTGCATTAGAGTTCGTCTAATGGTTTGTGGGTTATGTAGTTTCCCTCACCCTCCATAACCAAGCCCCCAGCACAGAGATGTGGTCCAAGATGACTACATCAGCCCTCCTGTCCACCCTACCTCTTTCAGCTCATCTTGGGTCTTTCCAAAGTACTACCCTAGTGGTATTTGTCCATTTCTCCCTGCTCAGGGCCTCAACCTACTGGCCTCCCCTAAAATCTGGACTCCTGACTGAGACCACCTCTGCAGGCCTCACCTCTTCTTTTATGCCATTCACTGGCCACACTGGTTCCTTTCTGTTTCCCCAAAGTGCCCAGCTCAGGCCTTCCCTGACTTAGTTCATCACATACCCTTCTGGTCTCAGCTCCAACCTCCCAGTGTGATTTAAGTGAAGCCATAGTGCTGTGATAAAATCTCTTAAAATGGGGAAAGTCTCAGCACACTGGGAGCTTATTTCTCTCTGGTTATAGATGTGTCAGGGCCAGGGGTGGCTCTCACTGTGTGGTGATGCAGCGGTCCAGGTTCCTCTGGTCTTCTGGATCCTCCATCCATTCAGCCAGGGGAAAGAAAGGAGAGCACGGAGGAGGAACATCCACTCCAGAAAAGCCAAGATCCCAAAGTGGCACACATCATTGGTGATCCATTCATCTCACTGGCAGAGCTGGTCACTTGGCCACACCTGGATGCAAAAAGGGCCAATGATACACTAGTGAAAGGGACAGTAGATTTTAGTGTGCAGTTAATGACTTCAGCCACAGTTATCTTCTCAGAGTCCTTTCCTGTTTGTCTCCTTCAAAGAACTTCCTCTCTGTCACTCACATCTCACAACCCTGTTGGATTTCCTTCATATCACAATTTATCTGCTTATTTGCCTATCTTTGTCACCTTTTAGAAGGGAAGCTCTGTGAGGCTGGGAACTCTGTCTGGTCCGTGCTGTAGTTCAAGCACCTAGATAAGGGTTGTTCCATGATACCTAGTAAGTGCTATTGAATCAATGAAAGGACAAAGGAATCATTTCCATTTGGTCAGTGGGACACAAAGGAGACCAGTGACTTCACAAATAGAAAATACTTTGCTGAAGGGCCTTGCAGAGAGTGGGAGCCACACACAGGCTGACTCTTGACTCCTCCCCCTTGCCATTGCTGATCTTCAGGTTATAGGACTCAGGGAAAGACTAGGCTGTGGTTTGTGAGTCAAGAAGCCTTGGTTGGGGGCTCCTTATCTCCTGACTTCTGTGTGTGTGCATGTCTCTCCATGTAGACCTCAGTTTCTCATCCTGCAATATGAAGGCAGAGCTGCTTTGGCCAGGCAAAACTCCACATGCCTTGAAGCCTGCCAAGAGGAGTTGGCCACCCCCAGAGCATGTCTGTACCTTCTTTTTCCAACTGCTGACCTTTAGGAGAAAGTTCCTTTTCCTTCCTTGCTCTCCCTCTGTGGGCTTAATAAGGCTTAATGAGGGGCCTGAGTGGGCCCAGAGGCCACCAACTCATACTTCCACTGCAGAGCAGAGTAGGGGGAACACAGCTAATGACAGGGTCCTGCTGCAGGGTGAGCTGACAACCTCAGCTGGCCTTTCTGGGCCTCTATTAACAGACCACACAGGGGAATGTCTTCTCAGGCCCCATGATTTTCAATTTTTCCACTAGGAAAATCATCTGGGAAGAGGTGGCCAAGAGGCCAGGGACAATTGACTATGCTCTGTCAGCATTATTCTATCCATTCCCTGATCCAGTTATCTACTCACCCTTCTACTTCTCCTTCTACCTGCCCATTCATTTACCCACTCAAGCATCCCAGCATCCATCCACCTAGCCTATGACCATCCTGCCGCCTAACCATCTACCAATTACCACCTACCCAGCTAGTAAATTATGTAGCCAAAACTCTGTCCATCTTTCTACCTACGCATCCACCCATGCCTTTGTCCATCTGTCTACACACAGTCATCTATCTGTCCTTCCAACATTCAGCTTTCCAACATCAACCCCACAGTAACTTTATGCCTTAGACTAAAACAGAAATGGGTAATTCAGCCCATTCCCTTGGCCTTTATGTTATATCATATGATGAAAAGGACACAGTGAAAAGCATTCTTTGCTGGTGGTCAGACTTGGGTTTGTCTGAGCTCTAAATTTAGTTAGCTTTGTGGCCTGAGATCATTTTGCATAAGTAAAACTATTTTTCAGTACCTACTATGTGCGGGTCTCACACTACACATTCTATAAAATGTTGGGTTTTTTTGAGTTGGCTTCCATATTAATCATTGTACAGATATAGACACTTAGCTGGGCTATGCCATAAGGCTGTAAAGATTGCACACTGAACAAACACTGAGGAATGTCTTTTACATCAGTCTATGGTAGTGATGTCAGAATTGGGACTAAGATCTGGCTGGCTCCAGAGTCAGCAATCTTTCTAGAATTCTGTCACTCTTGGCACCTAAGTGGACCTTCCACCTTATCACTAGTGTGTGATCCCATGAGTCTAAGTTCAGAACAACCCTTTTCCAAATTCTGGTCTTTCCTTCTTCAGGTAGAGTGAAGGAAGTAGAAGAGGAAGGGAATAGAAGGGGCTGATTCCATTACATGGTATAAACTCAGTCTCTGAGAGATGGCAAGAGTTGTAGGCGTGGAACTGAATTCCAGAGAGATCCACAGAATCCAAGACTTGGAGCAACTGAACAATGCATTGACTCTGATACTAAACCACAGCACTCCTACAGTATGGATCTAGAATGTCCCACAGAGGCCCATGGTCACCAGACTGTGGCTTTGTTGGGAGGTGGTGGAACTTTAAGGGGTGGAGCCTAGTAGAAGGAAGAACAAAGACTGAAACAAGAGTTTGGACCCTATGGAACCCTGAGTCCAGTCCAAGTCTGCTCCAGTGTATGCCATAAAAGATGTTCTCATGAAGGGGATATTGGGACTCTGTCTCCTTCCAGCCCCTGTCTTTGTCTCCTGGCTGCCATGTGGTGACTTCTTTCACCATGTACTCTTGCCATGATGTGGTGTGCCACCTTGGGCCCAAAGCAGCAGGCCCAAGTGACCATAGACTAAAATCATTGAAATCATCAGCTAAAATAAACCTTTGGTCCTTGTGAGTTAACTCAGGTATTTTGTTACAGGGATGGAAAGCTAACTAACACAACACTTTCTCTATCTGAGCTGAGGCCATATAGTGTCTCAATTTCTACAACTCAACCACAAAGATTAATAACAGCACCAATATCACAGGGCTGCTGTAGGACTAAAGACCTTAAGACACACGAAAGACCTAGAATGGCACCTGCCATGAAGAATGTGCTCAGTAAATGTTAAGCTCCAGAAGGAGACCTCTTTTCTTCCTGCAGGCCTCTTTCAGTCTGAGGTCCCCACACAGGCTGGGGCTGGGCCTCCAAGCTCTTTTGGCTCCCCAGCTAGTCCCAAATGACTTTTGTCTGAGTCTGGCTTTCATCTGAGCCACTGCCACCAAGTGTTAGGCTGTCTGAGTGGGTGTAGGTAAAGTCCCCAGCAATGCCATCCTTCTCATTACCCTGTGCCACACCAACTCAACACAGACATGATCAGAACAGCAGGATGGTAGCATACTGGAGTCTTGGTTTGAGTGGTGGGTGTGAAGCTTGTCTCTGGCCCTTCCTGAGGGTGACAGTGACTTAGCATCTCTGAGATTCTTTCCTCATCTGTCAGTGGGCAGTGAGAACAATCACTGCCTAGCAACAGTAGGCCCTTCAAAGCTTTCTTCTCAGCATCCATCCCCCCTTCTAACTGCCTCTGTTTGTAGAGTTCCTTGCCCCCCCTTGGTTGGTGTGATCAAGGAGTGGGGGAATATAGCCCCCAGGCTTTCGCAAATCAGAGTGTTGCGCTCCTGGCCATGGTGCTTGCTTCCGATGCTACCATCTGGCATCCATAGAGACCCAGAGAAGGAAGCTGACTCTGAAAGATGCTGAGCAGAAAAACAAGAGAAGCTCCACCCTAATGACACATGGAGCCCTTGTAACTCCAGCCCGGGCTTTATGTTCAGTAAATCCTTGTTTTTTCATGAGCCAGTTTTCTGCAACCAGAACAGTCACCAGACACAGACTCAGGCAACGTTTGCTGTAGCGCTTCAGCAGGCAGGGGGTCACTTGCTTTTGTGGTGAGCACTGGGGCAGGCTTGGTTCCCTGGATCCAGGGCTCCATAGGGTCCAAACTCTTGCCTCAGCCTTTTTGTTCTAATGACCATTCTAATTAAGGGATTTGCAAGCCCCTCTGTGAAGAATTGTGCTGTCTGCTCCATGAGAATTTAGGGACTGTCCCCTGATACATCATTCCCGTTTCTAATTATCCAAATCCTAAGCCCCAAATTCTACCAGATGTTGACTCTTGAGGCCCAATGCATGGGACTATGGGTGTGGAGAGGTCCCACCTGCACTGATCCCAACACACCCTTGCTCAAAGGCTTTAAGATTCCCCATTGGCTCACCACTCAAGAGTGTCAGAACCAGGATTTGAACACTGACCTCTGCAAATGGAAGACCTGCCTTAAACTGAGAGGGGAGGGAGAGACCCAGCAGGGCAAGGCAAAGGCCCAGTGGCCAGACTTCCCAGATGAAGTTGTGCTCAGATAGCCAGTGAGAGTGGGAGGACGTGGACATGCCAAGGGAGATGAGAGGGCTGTCAGGTGGGGGTATAGCTCAGTGCATTGCACAGAGGAGGAACATGAGTGAGTTTGTGAGATGTGCTGAGAAACCTCCAGTCACTGGACTCAAATGGATTAATCTCTCTCTCTCTCTCTTTCACACACACACACACACACACACACACACACACACACACTTCTTCATCTCCATGGTCCTGAAGAGTTAGACCCATTCTCTCCTACCTGGACTCCTCTCTGGTCTCCCTACCCTGCTCTGGATTCTCCAATCCCCTCCACCAGTAGCTTTCTACTCATCTATTCAGCAATACTCATCAGGAAGGGGCTCTGTGATGGACCTTCTTCACCTTCCTAACCTATCTCCTCCCCATAAACTATTCCCCATTCCTTGCTCTTTCATATCTTTGCCCTTGCATTCTCACTGCCTACTTCCCTTCCAGAACATTCTCCTCATCCCTTATCCACTGGGGCTAAGCTCACCTCTGTTTTGCCAGATGACCCAACCCCCACCTTCTGATTACCCCTCAGAGGCATACCTACTGCACCTTACCATCTTTCTGGTGTGACATCTTGACTTCCCCTGACCTGTGAGCTCCTTAAGGGCAGGAAATGTGACTCAGATCTGAGTTGGACTAAAGGAAGGAGTTCTTAGAAGGGACCAAGGTAGGGTCCTGAGGTCCCACTGCTTGGGCTAGGTCCCAGTTCAGCATTCTCCAGCAAGCTCTCGAGTCACTGAGCCTCAGTTTCCTCATCTGTAGAGATAAGAATGTCTCCCTTTCATGGTTGCTATGGGGATAAAATGATGTAATCCATATGTCACACATAATGAGATGCCTCAAAATTAGAGTATCCTGCCTGTGGGGACTATTGTGCTGGTGACTGTCATTGTTAGATAAAGGTGGACAGGTTAAGAGCAGGGTCTTCTGGATTCCTCTGCATCCTAGCTGAGGGACCATGTGTCATGCATGGCTTCTAGGAAGGGATTGCTTGGCTTCAGGGAATTGCCCTGGCCAAGGACACATCTCATCCCAAGGGAAGGTCATGCCAACAGCTAATGGTTGTCCAATACAAGCACTCAACCTCAGACTTCAACTAGGACCACTCCTGAAGGCCCATCTTGGTTCCAGCACTTCTGGGGGGACAGCTGAAATTTTTGCTGCTGCTCTTTTGAGTCAACTTTTCCCTCATTCCTGTCCTATCTTCCTCATTCCTGCAGCAGATACTACTCCTGGGTGTTCACCCCAGCAACACTTGTACACATGACTCCATATCAACATCTTTCTCCAGGAGCTACCCAAAGAAAATGTGCATGGCAGGAGCTCCATGGAGAGAATGGGCAGGTGCCCATGAAAGTGGCACATGGAGAGAGGTAAAAGAGGAAGGCTGAGGTGCAGGCCTGGATCAAAACTAACAGTCATATCCTAGATCTCTGAAAATCTTCCAGCCTTATCTTCATGGTCTCCCTTGTTCCTTGATGACCAATCACAGTGGTTGGAAGTGCTGCCTTTGATGCTTTCCCTGATTTGAGTCCTGACAACAAGGGGTGCTAGACAGCTCTGATGATGACACCTGTAGCCCCAAGGCACACAACATAAAGGCTGCCTCCTATGTAATCCCTCCATTGGGCTGAAGAAGGCTATTTACAAATTGACCCCTGTAGGTGCCATCTTTACATTGAAATGTAAAGATGGCACCTACAGGGTGCCTCTTTACAGGGGCCTTTTTTCTAGGCCTCTTCCCTACCATCTCCATAACTGATGAAGTTCCCAGGACTTTCTAGAAATTGCAGGGATTTGCTCCATTTGGAGAGGTTTATTATTCATTATTTATTATTTCATAATAGCTGTCAGGAGCATGATGTAGGAAGCATTTTTAAAGATAAAGGAATGGAAGCTCGGGGAAGTTAGGCCATGTGCCCTCATCACACAGCAAGCAAGTGGAGTAAGGCTGTGTGGGGTAGTAGCTAAGATGTATGATAGACAGGACTGGATTGGAATCTGGCTCCAGCTCCACTATTTACTGTGTGTTTGAGGGTAAGTTAACATAGCCATGCCCATTTTCTCTTCAATAAAATGGGGATGATAATACTTTGACCGTGGTAACCATCAAGATGAAACAAGGTAATACATGAAAAATGCATAAACAGATTTTTATCCCTATTACACCATGTACTGAGTACTGACTATGTGGTAGGCACTGCGCTGGGTTTCTGGGGCAGAGCAGAGAATAGACAGATGTGGCACCCATCCCCAAGGAGCAGACATCCTTGGTTATACTTAATTGCATTTCATTATTCAGTTATTATATTATTAGCCCTAATGTTGATAGGTAGGATCTGAGTCCACATCTATTTAACCCCACAGAGAGGCTTTCCCAGCCCATTCCCCTGTAATCTTCCTCACTATTTCTCTCATCATCCTAGATATAGTAGGGGTTTGTGGATTTGCTTATGATAGATCTCCACTAGGAAGAAATGAGAAAATGGTGCTTAAGCTGCCTGGATATTTCTTTTTTGGTACCAGGGATTGAATTCAGGACCTTGTGCTTTTGAGGAAGGTGCTGGAACCACTGAGCTAAATCCCCAGCCTGCCTGGATATTTCTATAAGCTAATGTCTTCAAACAAGGGTGGTTGTCCTAACCCAAGATCACTTAGAGCACAGAGTGGCTTGTTCTACTACTCTGAGTCAGGGAAGCGCCCTATGAGGCAGTCTTGAGCTGAGCCCCATCAGAGAAAATGGGCAGGCATTGCAGGCAGGGCCATTGCCTCAGCAAAGGCCAGAAGGCTGCATTTAAACCCCAGCTCATCCAGGTTCTGGCTGATTCCCCCACCAGGCCAGTCTTCCTCTTCTCCTTCTGTGTCAACGCTGATGGGTCCTGTCAGCATGCTCCATGTATCCTTGGTGCCTGACGCTTTCAATGGCCTGTGTTGTTGTGAGTCTCCTAGTGAATGCAGTTGGAGGGCTTTGCTTGTTGAATCATTTATTTACTTATTTAGTCATTCATAATTAATTTGCTCAACAAACATTTCTCAAGGACCTCCTCCATGTCAGGCACTGTGTCAGGTGCTGAAACTCACCTGCTGGGACAATTAGTCTTCCTGCCCTGGAGGAACTCATGGGGAAAATAGAAGAGAACCATCCCCACCAACAAAGAAATGTAAAACAATGGATGATTACGTCTATAAAGGAAGCAAACAAGGGTGTTACAAGAGATGGTGTCACATAAATCTTACTTGAGATGAGGTGGTCAGAGAAAGCTTCCTGTAGGAGATGTCAGTCAAGAAGAAAGTTGAAGATGACTACCATAGGATCCAGAACTCCTGAATATATATTCAAAGGAAGGAAATCAGGATGTCAAAGGCCCATCTGTACTCCCATCTTTATTGTGACACTGTTTACAATAGCCCAGAAATGGAAGCTAACTAAATGTTCATCAGTGGATAAATGGATAAAGAAAATGTGGTACATACACACAATGGAATACTATTCAGCCAGAAGAAGGATGCAATTCTGTTAAGACAACATGGAGGGAACTGGAGATCATTATGTTGAGTGAAATAAGCCTGGGACAGAAAGACAAATATTGCATGATCTTACTTGTAAGTGGAATATGAAAATGTCAATCTCAAAGAAGTTGAGAGTAGAATGGGAGTTACAGGAGCTGGGGGCAGTAGGAGGGATGAGCAAAGGTCATTAGCAGGTACTAAGTTATGGTTAGACAGGAAGAGTGAGAAATTCTGGTGTACTATTGCACAGCAATACGCACTACAGGTGACCATAATGTACTGCATATTTCAAAAAGGTAGAAGAGGGCTTTTGAATGTTCTCATCACAAAGAAATGATAAATATTTGGAGAGAGAAAGATGTTTACCCTGATTTTCACATGACACAATATATCCATGTATTAAACCATCACATGGCACTCTGTAAACATATGTACTTTTTATGATTTTTGGTATCAATTAAAAATTAAGCTAACCATGTTTAAAAAAGAAACTTGGAGG